CGGAGGTTCAATTCCTGGTCAGAGCAAATCTTTTTAAAATTAAAAATACTCTTAAAATGCATCTATATATACATATACGGAGAGTCATTTTAGGTAAATTTTTACCCTGATTGTCAGGGTAATTCTAGGTCAATCCGACGATGGAGTAAATTTTATCCTGTTTCAACTATAACTTTTACCCTGAGTCACGGTTAAGAATCATCAAATAGTAAAATTTATAGTCAGTCCTTACAATTTGTACAGCGGAGCTTTGTAATTTTTATCCTCAGTTAGGGTGAAAATTATCAACACTCTCTCTATAGCAGCACTGCGGCGCGCCGGCAGAGAAAAAGTAAGACCAGCTGTCTGCTTTGACCATGTTATGGCCGGACTTGTTCAGAGTTTGGTCTTAACTGTTTTATTTAAGTGCCATTCGTGGGGTTCTTAGATTTCAGCTCGTGAGCTTTATTTGTTCTATTTTTGTATTAAATAATAATCTTTATTTAAATAATATGGATAATTAATGTATTTCTTTATTAAAGCAATTTAATAATAATTTGTTCTTTTAAATATAATTTAATCGGGTCACTATAACAAAGTTCAACGTAAATTTTATTACTGATATTTTACTTACATCTATCACTGACTATTTTTACTGCTGCTTCGGAGTTTCTTAATGCTTCGTCCTGTAACTGTCAATGTTTCCTTAACTTACACGAACGAGTTCATGGTCAGCAGGATGTTGCGACTTCTGCTTCCTCTGTTATTGCCGGAATCACTTTCGACGAGCCTCCTTTGCTGTACGTCACTCCTTAGCGTAGTCCGATACTTTTGATGTTCTCGATACGCACTTGAATTGCCTCAGCCAACACGTTATGCCTTACGTGTATAAGGTACTCACAAGTCGCGAGAGTCAAGAGTTGACTAAAACTTTAGAGGACAGGTGACAGACGTGAAGAGAGCACTTTTTTCTCTTGATGGTGCGTTTTTATAGCATCAGAGCGAGTAAAAGAGGCCTTTGGTTGAATTAGGTCAACCAATGAGCGATTTTCTTGCAGACTGCGTTGACAGTTGCATGATGATGTTACATGTTACGATTTTACATATTAGGAAATAACAATACAACAGTACCAATCGCATTTTCTGATAAGTGCGATTGAGTTTTTGGGTCAGTGATGATGAAAGCTCGTATCAGCAATATAAGAACGCCAAATACAAGTTCAATTGTGACAGTAAGTTTAGAATTTCGAAATTAATCCTTCTGAGGATTTTACAATCAATTTTGAATATAATGAAATATGTGTGAATTACAAGTTTTTAATTAGTATACATTATCAGAACTAAACAATTAATGAGCAAGTAACTATTTATTCATACATACATGCATTTTTACAATGAGGCTGGCCGTATTCTATGTCAGCATATTATGAAGCATTCACCTTAAAGCTAATACACACACGCGCACACATAAACGACATACAAGTTCCTCTTGTCATATCAGCTTGCTTTATATTCACAATACGTTTTATCTTAATTTTTATGGACGGATAGTTTTTAGTTATAATATAATTAGTATCAACTCGGGATGTAACAACCACATCACCTACTGTCCATGAATACGATCGATACGCTATCCGTACTCTTGTGATTATAAATCAGAACTTCCTCTTAACGTAAAAAAACTTGCTCGTAAACGAGTCTCCTGCGCGGCTAAGTTTGGAGATAACTGGGCTCTGGCCTTAATAAAATTGCTATTGCGACCGCTTCATGCCCTTTGTGTCAAGGAAAGTACAGCCAGCTTGATACGGTGTGCCCTTGTGATTGTATTCTCCAACCTCGACTTCATGAGTACATGAACACCATTCTGCCCGAACGCATTCGATACCGTGTCGATCGTGTTCACGGACAGTAGGTTATGTGTTCAAAGCAGACATATGGTCTCACTTCTCCACTGGAAGCGCACCACGGCGCTGCTATAAAGAGAGTGAGGGGAATGTTTACCCTAATTGAGGATAAAAATTACAAAGTTCTGCTATGAAAATTATAAAGACTGACTATAAATTTTACTATTCCCTGAATTTTTACCGTGATTCAGGGTAAAAATTATAATTGAAACGGAATAATATTTACTCCATCGTTGAATTGTCCCCGAATTGTCCTGACAATCTGGATAAAAATTTACCTAAAGTGGTTCTCCGTGTATATAACCTTAAGGAGGTTCGATACATATCATGGACAATGGTTGAGAGCTCTAATTTAGTTTTTGATTCATTCTATGTGTTACTAAAAATAAACGTCCGTTTTTTGAGCGATCTCAGCTATATAGTCATTAAAATATTTCAAAATAAAAAATGAACAACTTAACACGGGCTGTTGTGGGAAAATTTTGTGACCTAAAAATAGCATACATTAGTTACGATTAAAAAACCGAAAAAAATATATTTCGATACTTCAAATACTGTGGAATCATATGATCCTCAGATTTTTATTTGTATCCATACTAATTAAAGAAAAAATCATGATTTTCAACATAAAAATAAAAAATTTGGTTAGGTTAATAATACCAATGCATGTAATGCCATGTACGAATAAACTGTATTACGTTCTGTCAGTAATGACGTGAGCTTCCCATAACTGTGACCCGGCTTCAAAACCCCGCTAAAAGATTGTATCGAACCTCCTTAAAGGGAAAAAAACATCTATATAAATATCTATATCTTAATATTCTGTTAGTTACATGTTCCCTGCGTATGAACAATATGAGCATATACTTTTCTCTATCTTAAATATAAAAATTATTTAAGAACAAAGTAGAAATCACTATACTGAATAGCAAATTTAAATGTCAATTGCTTTTACTATGTAATATAGTAATTTCTTAACATGGCTAGTATATGTCAGCTTCTCTAAAACATACAGTAATTTTTATTATACTTATAATACATTATCGAAAACCACTGCTTTCAGTGCACGGAGAAAAGATAAGATGTCCTGAAAATTGGTTTTGATACAAATTTACGTTTGTTGAAATCATTTACTTAGTTTGTTGATTAAAAAAAAAAAAATTAAATGTGAATAACGTATTTTATTTATCATCAAAATTACTCTTGTAAATTTTTTATTACTAACAGTTATTGCTCACGTTATTTCTAACTTACAAAACGGTCATTGAATACATACACATTCACAAAACTTATTACAAATATACATTTCACCTTATCAAATTATGTATAAATTCGGGGCAATAAATTTACGAATAAATAAATTTTCTCATTCCTGACGGAAAAAACTGCCACCTTGACGTTAATTGGCTTCCACTGAGTGATTCCAGTAATGAAATTCAGTTTCACAATCAGCGTAGATCTTTATTTACATAATTTTAATTGTTCAACATTTTTCAAAAACGTTTATTACTAGAATTAGTAAAGATGAGACAAACATTACCGCAATATATACATTAAAGCTCCTCTTCAACGTCCTCAATTATTAATTATCACTCTAGATTTGCCTAAATAATAAATTTTATACATACATATACATAATACGTGCATCTGTGAGTACAATAATTGTTAGTCATAATTACTATTGAGGCAAATCAAGTGTGGTAATGAACAATGGACTTCCAGGAGGAGCTTTAATTCGACAAGTCAGTTGTTTTACCAACTACAACGACGCAAATGGTAAAAGTTTCAGTTGTCTGTAACACATGACAACTATTTCCTATAGCACCAACCCACATGGTATGGACATTTTTTGCTGTACCTCCCTCAACGTTAACGCCATCTGTCTCATAGCGTATGTAACTAAATGTATAGGTCTCAGACGTTGGAAACAAGAAAAGGCTTCACTTTATCTTAGACCAAGAGCTGAGGCCGAAGGGTAGTCAAAATTTTAACCAGCCACCACTTTTATCAGAGTTGAGGAACTTTATGATTCGTGGATATCCGAAATATTTCGATCATATTTCATTGTGGTAAAGAGTTATGTGGTAATTATAGTTGTGCCATATGATCTTTTTGATTAATCAGCCGCAACTTACACTAATGGATAGAAAATAAAAAGTTGTTATCTGAAAGTGCCATTTGCGGCAAGATTAGAATGCATCTTGTACCGGAAAATCGACCTCCAAAAATATAGATATTGTATTCGTATCTATAATGTTATCTACAATACATCATCTAGTATCATAGATGAGTATTATAGATAATATAGGGTAGGGGATCTATTTTTTTCAAGGTCGATTTTCCTGACAACTTTTTATTTTATATTTATCAGTGTAAGTTGCGGCTGGTTAATAAAAAAAGATCATGTGGCACAACCACAAATACCACATAAGGTAAAGTACCCAATTGTGGTCCCCTAAATGTTGAGGTCAGCAATATAATAAATATTACACACACAAAACACCGATAGTATGCAAAAGTTTTTTGTTTAATTCATTTTAAATGCCTTTTTGAATGAAACTTTACAATATTTACTTAAAATTTTTGCTCATTTATTTAATAATTAGCTTTTAAATTATGACCTTTAAGACCATATTTTTGAGACTAGACGGCGAAGTACCCCAGTTGTTGGACCATGCATATTCCATGGCAAAGACCTTGCGTACCCCAATTATTGGACCGCTGTGTGTTTTCGCATTTTTTTCGTTTGACATTCAGGGACTTTTTTTAAAACAACCTAACTCATTATCAATAATAGATATCGCCAAAATACTTCGGATCTCTACGAATCACGAATTTTCCCATTATTTGAAAAATTGGCGGCGATTTCACAATTTATCCGCTTACTTGACCCTAGTGTTCTAAGGGATGTATTCCATGTATCCCCTATAGTTTCGTACTTTATATAACAGTTTTCTGGAAAACTTTTCTTAATTTCGCGTACGTGAAAAGGTGGTGAAGTTCCCGATCCCAAATCCAAATAGGAGATTTGCGTACGCGATGTTCATGTTTTTAGCTGGCTAGTCACGCTCTATATATGTTTGAAATTTACAAAATTAAAATTGCATATCAAATTACCTTGATCCCTTCCGGAGGTATAAATCCACCAAACCTTGCAGGCAAGTCTTTAAAATCTTGCTCAACCCTGTGACTGTCCTTTGCTGAGAATACCAATATATCCGCATTAACATAACTAGTGCAGGTAACTGCCAACACAAACCCCACTTGAATTGACAAACGCAAAAGATGATGAATCATTTTTGCCGTTGCTTACAAATATCTTTAACAATCTACAAACAGTTGGCTTGTGAATTTGGCAGGTATAACTTTCCACAGCAAGTAATACATCACGATATCCAATTTTTTAAGGCTGTGATAGTAGATATAAATCCTAGAAATCAAAGCCAGTAATTTTTTCTAATATTATATGACGTTACATTTAAATTAGGCTACTAAGGATGTTAGCTATGTTTAAACAATATTTGGTTTCACTTCTGTTTTGAAACTAGTATTTACTGTAAAATATAATTTTTTAAGAAGAAGTCAAGTCAATATGTTTGTATTGAAAGTACTTAGTATTAAAATAATTAAAAACTAAATATATATTCACTCGATTCTTCGATTAAGTAATTGAATGAAAATCTAGACCTTGCCAAAGTATAAATTTATCCATACAAATATTTACTTGAAAACTTTTGTGAATGTGATACTTTTGACTTTCACATTATATGTAAGTAGCTTTCATCATATTATTGATGTGAAAATAAATGGTTTATCAAACGCTCTTGACTAATATTTTATAAAAACTCAATATTAAGGGATAAGCTATAAACGTAGTTGATTCTCCATAAGGCAGAGAAAGACTAGAATAGTAAAATTAAGAGATGAATATAGTTGTTTCTCTATAAGGAAGAAAAAAGGTAGAATAGTTAAATTAAGTCCCAAACACTTTTATCTTTCGGGAGCAATGGAATTTTAGTGTATTTGCTTACTGTAGTACATAATAATAAAAAATTTCCATAATTTAGTAATCAAATACGGACATGGTAACAACGAAACATTGTAGCCATATGCAATTGTCAGTAGAACTATGGCAATGATATACAAGTTCATACGTTTGTGTGTCAGTCAACGAGATTTTGAAGAAAATCGAATGTAACCTTGGTTTTTCCAAGTACACTTTCTATCACAACACTGATACACTTAACTACATAATTAAAAACTTTATTATCGTATGTCACAGGCAGCTAAGTAGCACAACCAGATATCCTATACATCACATTCTTGCAGCATGTGCATGTGCAGCCATACAAGATAACTGAAGGTTGAACACATACTGTTACTGTACTACGGCACACGTATTTGTCACATAATATAGTAAACCAAGAGATGAGACCAGATGGTGGTCAAAATCTCAACCAGCCACCACTCTCACCAAAGTTGAAATACTTCATAATTTGTAAAGATCTAAGATAGTTTTGTCATATTTCATTTTGCTAAGGAGTTTTGTTAGTATTTAAAAAGTGCCATATAATTTTTTTTTAAACCAGCCGCAATTTAAATTGATACATGAAATCTAAAAATTGTTATTAGGTGATATTTTTTGCGGCAAGATTAGAATGCATCTTGTACTTGAAAACCGACCATCAAAAAAATAGACCTACCTGATGTTATCCATCACGACCATCACACTCATCTAAGGTAATGGCACGATTGACGATTCCGATTTCTATGGCGCCGCGATCTAAGTGTGGTTTCTTATGTATGTTGATGCCAGGAATACAGAAAAAATAATTAAAAAATTCTCACTTACCTCCTTTTGGAGATATCGAACTCGAAAGTCGAAAAAATCATATTTTGTATACATGCGATATTATGGTTATTTCTTGCTTATTTGATAGTGATAAATATGAAAAAACTGATTAAAACAATTCTGCTTGCTTTTTTTTTGAGATGTTGCGTCTCGATTTTCGAAAAACACATTTCTAATATATTTTCTTTTAATATAAAAACGCTTAATAAATGCTTATTATTTATTGATTTGAAAACGATGAAATTTACATTAATTTAACCATCCCTCCCCCGACACTGACACAAATCAAAGTGTATTATCTATTCTCATCAGCTTGGTATCCGATACGCTCTTCATGTAAGGGCTATTCAAAATTTAAATTCTCGCTCTCTTCATCAAGCGTGCAGCGCCTCTATCAGTCACTGTTTTTTATAGCGCGTTAACATTTCAAATATACAAGCTCAGTGCAGAGCTGCATAGCAAATTAGGGTGCCTGTGCGTGGGAGTCTTAGGCTGCGTTTAGCTAGAGTCTGGGAGTATGTCAGACTGGCATTGTAGCTTATAATAGTGAGAGAGAGGTTCATCACGTGACCACATCTAACCTATGTCAGACTGGCATTGTAGCTTATAAGAGTGAGAGAGAGGTTCATCACGTGACCACATCTAACCTCTCTCTCACTCTCATAAGCTACAATGCCAGTCTGACAGACTTCCAGACTCCATCTAAACGCAGCCTTACAGTCTTAAGCCTGTAAGCCACACCTATGGCGAGTGATTTGATTCAAACTGATGTTAACTGAATACCGATATAATTTGTTTTAAACAAGGAAATAGACACTTTATTCATAATATAACTATGTAACGTGATTACATTATAAGGTTATAGAACATCTTTGAGGCATCAAATGGAAAATTTCTACAAATCATATTAATGCAATAGTTTTGTCAACATAACCTCTCTTTTTAGTGACTCAGCGTTGGCAAAATTTTTTTAGTTTTGGTGGCTAAATATCTTTCCAATATTATAATGCAATCACGTAACAAAGTTTTGTTATGAACAGGATGCCTATTATATCTTGTTTAAAACAAATTATATCACTATTCAGTTAACGTCAGTTTAATTTCACTCACTTAGGCTTTGAGATTTCTGGGCTAAGGGGTTGAATACTTTCAGGTTATTGGGTTTAAGAGCTTAGGTCAAAGTTTTTTGATTTTCCCGGGATTCTGGATCCACTTTTGAATTTTGTCCCAATGTTGAACTGTGCTTTAAAAAAACTGTAAGCTGTTATAAAACATTACAGATGACAACACTTCCTTACAGTTTATTAGAGTTTACTACAGTTGCTTTTTCACGAGATTCAAGTGTCTTTTTAGAATAATAATAAAATGTAACGAATCGTAAGACAATATGTGTTGGGTTGTAGTTGACTATAATCAAACGTAACAAAACGTAACAAACTGTAACTGTGGTCCAAAATCCAACCAAACTGTACATTACATCACAGAAAGTTACGATTTGCTACGTTTTTTCACACCAACTTTTTCCGTTGGGGAAAGTGTCATTTAAAAGAGGAGGTTTTTTTTCTACAAAACGTGTGCGCTCTTAAGTATGACAGGAACTGTTGATTTATTCGAGTTTAGAAGTTGTTTTTATCCAGGGTGCAAGTTCCACCATAAAAATACGTGTTAGAAAGCGCTACATTAAATTAATATAACCAGACTTGTTTAGAGTATGGTCTTAACTGTTTTATTTAAGTATCATTCGTGGGTCTCTTAGGATTCAGCTCGAAAGCTTAATTTGTTTTTTTGTATTGAATAATAATCTTTATTTAAATAATATCGGTAATTTTTACTAATGTATTTCTTTATCAAAGCCATCTTATAATAATTTGTTCTTTTAAATACAATTTAATTGGGTCACTTTGACAAGGTTCGGCGTTAATTTTATTACTGATGACTAACTTACATCTACACTGATTGTTATTACTGCTGCTTCGGAGTTCCCTAATGCTTCGTGCGATGACCTTCAGTGTTTCCTTAAAATACACGAATGAGTTCGTGGCCAGTAGGATGTTGCAATTTCTGCTTTCTCTGCTATCGCCGGAATTACTTTCGGCGGGCCTCCTTTGCTGTACCTCACTCCTTAGCGTAGTCCGATACTAATGATGTTTTCGATACACACTCGAGTTGCCTCAGCCAACACGTTATGCCTTACGTGTATAAGGTACTCACAAGTCACGAGAGTCAAGAGTTGACTAAAACTTTAGAGGACAGGTTACAGACGTGAAGAGAGCACTTTTTCCTCTTGATGGTACGTTTTTATAGCAACAGAGCGAGTAAAAGAGGCCTGTGGTTTAATTAGTTCCACCAATGAGCGATTTTCTTGCAGACTGCGTTGACAGTTGCATAATGATGTTACATGTTATGATTTTACATATTAGGAAATGACAATACAACAGAATAACCAATCACATCTTTTGTCATATGAGCTTGCTTTATATTCACATTGCGTCTTATTTGAATTTGACGGACGGATAGCTTTTAGTTATAATATAGTTCTTATCAACTCGGGATGTAACATCTACATACCGTCCCTTCCGCTTTCTCGCACCAGGTGTCACATAGAAAACAAGCACCGAGCAAACAAGCTCCTGGAAGCAGTAAACACTTTACAAGGAAGAAATAAAAGTAATAAATGTAATTGTAAAATTATAATAAAATTCGCATTGATAGATAAGTAAAGAATTGATCGATTATTTTAAATTAACTTTAATATAATAATTTGTTTATTAAAACTTAACTCTTACTGCCAACTCCTAAACTTTCGAAATTCTGGGACCAGCCATTAGCCCGCGTGTGAGTATGAGTGAGAAGCAAGAACATATACTCTTTCTGTTGCACTTACAGCGACATATAAATTTGGGCTGGTCCTAAAAGTTCAAGACTACATGTGTACGAAACCTTACTTTAGCCAGTGTCACGTCTAGTAACGTCTACCCACTGTCGGTAACAAATACCATATGGTATTCGTCACCTAGTTACGTAACTTCCCAGCAGGCACAGAAACACAATGGGTGTTTTCCGCAATCGTCACCAGCAAGTAATTTAAGGTTGCGCTCGACGTTACCGTCAGGTCGGTAAGTCAACTACCTTGAATTAACTGGCGCTCTGTTCTGCAATCTGGCCAGTTAAAATAGCAGACGACAGTCAACAGCGATGAAATCTTCACTTTTTTCTCGACTTTTATGTAGTCTGCTATTGTAACTGGCCAGATTACGGAACAGAGCGCCAGTTAATTCAAGGTAGTTGACTTACTGACCTGATGGTAACGTAGAGCGCAACCTACTATTACTTGCTGGTGACGATTGAGGAAAACACCCAATATGAATTGTAATTGAATTCTTTTTTTTTAATTCTTAAAGAATTCATTAGAACGAATTCAATATGTATTCAATATGTGATCAAATGTCTTCAAAAGAATTCTTAATGAATTCTTTTTAAATATAATTTTACGTCGTTAAGTACACGTTAAGAATTCATAAATTCATCAACTTATGTCATGTGAGATGGGCCCAACAAGAGTTCTTAAAGAATTCATTAGTCTTCATGTAAAAAATCTTCTTTATCGACTGCCTGAAATTATCGCACATATATATATCAGCCTGATATCTTAATTCGTTCCCAGCGAAATTCAAATGATTTATTTATTTAATTACAAATAATAACCTGAACGTCAAAATAAATTGATGTCACTTTGTTACGAGGTTAATCCCGACACAACTTTCATTTATCTACAACTACGATATGGTTATAATTATTACTCGTATTTTAT